ATTTCAGTAAAGAAGAAAATCTAGTTTAGTTGTGGCAGCAGAAGCTTTTTAGCTGTTTTTATGGCTTATCACTGAGGAGAGTTTGGTCCTTGTCTCAGAGTGGCTTACAATAAACTTATGAGACATGTAATAAAATCATATGCATCTCACCATCTTTCCAGAGGTCTTGGACAAACTGGTTAGAAGAATTGGAGAGCAGTGCTGTAACGTTGTCATTTAGAGGGTCCATGTTCTTTGTCAGCCAGGCTGTGGCGTTATAGTCTACCTAAAACAGCAAGACGACAAAGTTATGTGAGCTTTTGTGAGAATGCAAGATGATTGTCTCCAAATGAAGATAAACAGTATGAAGACAGAACATTTTTTCCCTTCTCCTAACTGCCATCATTCTCACCTTCCCAGCATAATGAAGAATGGAGAACTCTGTTTTGTCTTTAAGCTGTTTAGGTTTGGCAAATTTCATGTGGTTGCCCTGTGTGTTTAAAAGTTTCTCCACAAAGGAGATATCTGTGGCTTTGGGGAACCAGCACTCTTCATCCAGCAGGGCCAGGATGCCTGGAGGGTTGTTCTGCAGAGAATATATATGATTAAGAGGCTGTGTAGGATTTAACTGATGCTGTTATTTATTATTAACACTTACTGGCCTCTCAATGAGCTCGATGCAGGGCTGGAGGTCAAGGCCAAAGTCAATGAAGTTCCACTCGATGCCTTCTCTCTGGTACTCCTCCTGCTCCAGGATGAACATGGTGTGGTTGAAAAGCTGCTGTAGCTTCTCATTGGTGTAGTTGATGCACAGCTGCTCAAAGGAGTTATCCTGCAATAGCCAGAACACAGAGATGAAGACATGCATATCACATCCACTATCTTTCCAAGCGCTCTGCACCGTAGAAAAAAAAAATCCTAAAAAAACAGTAATATTCCGGCAGCTGGGGCGCCAAAATAATACCAGAAAATAACTTTCTCATGAAAATACGGTTATTTCCAGTAATGACAATACAGTTTGTTGCTCTAATTTTACATGGGACTTTGCCTTTTTCATTTGTGAATGTATTTTAACAATCTAAATATGCATATGTACAGACAAATACATTTAAAAAACAAGAAAATTATGTTTTATTACATTTGCAATGATTTTACGTTAATTTACATTTGAAATGTGAAATCACAGTATTTATGTAAATTTAATGATATTCTAGAAGAACAATACAAAACTGTAAAATACACAGTAAAATTCTTTTGTATTACATTTTTTTTTACAGTTTGTGATGATCTATACCTCAAAGATCTCAAAACCGGCAATGTCAAGGATTCCCAGGAAGGAGGCTCCTTGGCGTTTAGTCTTATCCAGGGCTTTGTTAACCCGGCCCAGGATCCAGCGGAACAGTCGCTCAAAGACAGCTTTGGCCAACGCTTCTATAGCAAAGTCAGCCTAACAGACACAGACACACAGAAGAACACAGACCAGACTGTGATTAACACACAGTTATTCCTATGTTTTTAAACAGTTTCCTCCTTGCAGTACCTGCTCTTTGGTCTGTGCCTTCTGCACCACCTCCCTGCCCACTTTGATGCGAGGGGTGAGGATGGCTCGTGTAAAGTCTGTCACATTGATGCCCTGCAGGTGACACACCTTCTGCGCAGCTACAAAGAGAGAAATTTTGTCATATTGGACACAATATTATTTCACCCAGGTGTTCTTGCTGCTATAGATAATACATTTTTAAAGTTACAGCTGGCTTTGTAAAAGTCAATAACCCCTAGTGGGATTTCTAATGGCAGGAAGAAGTTGTGTCTAACCAGTGTTGTCTGGCATGGTTGCCTGCTCCTGGTTCCTCTCTTTCTTGAATTCAATGTTTCCCAGCTGCATCACTGTGGAGCACACCTTCAGGATATCTGGAACAAGGAAATCAAGTGGTTGACTTCACGGGGAAACACTAATAATAACGTTCTTCTTGTTTGCTGGAACATTTCCCAAAAATCAGCTTGTTTTCTGATTTAAATGTAAATTAATGTTGCCTCTTCAATGCAAATTCACAACAGTCCAGATTCAGTGGGCCAACAGTATTAGAGTGATGCTAATGCTATGCTTATTACTACGCTGATACCAATTCTGTCCTCTTCTGTGATGCCCATGATATTCATGGCCTCCATGGTTTCCTCATACATCTCATCATCTTGCTGGCCAGGGATCTGGACGTGGCCTGCGCTGAGGAAGCGGTAATTACTGAAGGGCTCCAGAAGTAGCTCCTCTGAAAATAAAGAAAAACAGCAACTTATCATCATCATCGTTCTGTGGTCAGTAATCTGAGAATCAGTGAGGCTTAACTTTTTATGAAGATTTTGCTCTCGTGAGAAAATAGCACGAGTGGTCATAAATAACATGCAGGAACGCTTTACTCGGCTTTATTTTGATTATTGTGGTTAAACATCATTTGGAAGAAAATCTTTTTTGAGAGTTTGAGAAAATTATTTTCCTCCATGACCTTAAAAAAAAACCATTTTCATAATCCAGCTGGATAAATTGTGACATGCATGACAGTCAACGAAGACCAGAAGTGACTTCCTTTTTCCCTTCCTCCAGTTCCAGATGAGACTCCCACATGACGGTGATATGTACAACACACTGTCAAAAGAAGCCCTGCTAACTGCTGAGCAGCAGCATCAAAGAAATCACACACATATTTTGGGTTTATAATCATCTTACCGCGCAGTTTGTCCTTGGCACCAGCAATCATGTAGTAGAAGATGTGAAAAGCTCTTTCTGTCTTTGCCTGTCTGATACAGCGAGACTTCTCCAGCAGATCTGAGAGCAGCTGCTAAAGAATAAAAATCTCATTTGTGAGTAGGGGAAATTTAGTTTACAAACCTCTGTTCAGCCTTAAATGGTAATTCTTGTTTTAACTAAATAGGAAGAATATAATTAATGCCTTGTGGTTTTTTTACAAGCCAATCAAGTTTCAGTTTCTAATGATCTAATAATCTATCTCTCTCCAAAGTGTCATTGAATGAGTGCCACCTATTCAGTATCTAGGCAAATGTGAAATATTTTCACAAACCCTGATTCTATTCCTAAGTTATAGCGCAGAAAAATGTCCAGAAGAGTAGGACATTATGTTTAAAAATAAACTGTCATCAGATATTAGTGTTAAATTTTGCAGTAATCAGTGTATGAATTCTTGATTTAAAGCCAAAAATTTATTTTCTGAGGTTATTGTGACTTTAAACAATCTAAACAGTTCATCCAAGTGAACATTTGTGCCAAATATGAATACATTTATCAGCATGTTCAACAGATTTCACATTCTCACTCACACTGTCACTGCTTGCATAAAGAGGCATAAAAACAAATAAGTAACAATGATTATCAACAATGGATGGATAATTAGCAACAAAGCTAGCAGTCGTTGTTTTAAAAATCTCATAGATGATGCAAGTTTGAATTATATACCTAAAAAACGCCTTTTATAGGAAAAAGATGATTTATAATGGCCCGAAATAAACTGTTATTCAAAAGCTGTCAGCAGATAAACTTTGCGATAACTTATTTGAAATCAAAAAGCAGCACATAGCATTTAACTTTTGGTGCAGATGAAAGGCAACACAAAAAGTCTTCTTACTGTAAAAATAATATGTCTAAGATTAAAAAGTAAAAAGGATACAAGTCTCAATGTTGGCTCCAACAATGTAGCCGGTCACATCAAAGTTGATGCGGATGAATTTTCCCTGTGAGAGAGATAAACAAGCAGTGAGATCACGACACGTGCAAAAAATATAACTTAGAAAACATCTAAACAATGCGTTCTATAACTTCACAAAACTCACAAATCTTGAGGAGTTGTCATTTTTGATGGTCTTAGCATTTCCAAAGGCCTCCAGGATAGGATTGGCCTGCAGGAGTTGCTTCTCCAGCTCCCCCTAGTGATGACAGCGACACAGAAAAATGTGACTAAGAAGGACTGATTCGCTGCTTGTGATGCAGCGGAGTTGGAGTTTGGTGGGGATGAAGTAGTATAGGGTCAGTATTGATAGGTTAGCGTAGGTTTACCAGAATATCATCAGTGACAAAGGAAAAAAGGCAGAAAACAAGACGCAGGGCACGGGTCCTCACTAAACAATGAATATTTGGACAAGTACATTTATATCAAGTTACAAAAGGTTAATATAATAATTTCACTGTAGTCTTCTTTGATTTTCTGATGAATACTGGATGGATTACATAACACAGACATGACCAAAACACTCCTCCATCAGTTCTGAGAAACTGTTAAAATTCAGAGAAGCTGTTGTTGATGACGAAGATCAGAGGCTGAGATGGATGAGGTGGGTTATGTTGGGTCACAGGCTTCCAAATACCATCTGAAAAGCTGTGAAAATATTCCAACAAAGTTTTTTTTATTCAGTGTGTTGGCAAATCAAAATGATTCAGATTCAGAAACATCCTACTGGAGATGCGATTTGCTTCCAGCGTGACTGCAGAGACTGTAGATGCAGGTGAGTCAGTAAATGAGGCAGACACCCCGTCACTTTGCATTGAGTTAATCCACCTGATCAAAGTGGTCTGTCCTAGTCTGTATCCAGGTCGGGCGCTGTAGACCTCTACCTAACCTCTCTTGCTTAAAAACACCTCCCTTAGCAACAATGTAAGTGAGCTAAAGCTAGGAAGAAGAGAAAGGAGCACGACTTGTAACACAAAGATAATGAAGACAAACGATAGCCATGTGAAGCTGTTTGCCAACTTGTGTGAATTCATTAAGCTCAGTTTCAAAATATGTGGTTTACAGATGTTTTTACTAATGCTGATATATATTTGTATATCTGTTTTTGGAACTCACTGACAAATATGGAGGTTGAACACAGCCGTAATAAAAATAGAAATAATCGATAATAAGTAAAAGATGTAGCCAATACTGACTGAATGTGAATTAAAGTAATATTCCCAATTTTCACATTATTTCATTTTATACTGTATTTTTATGTGAAATTTGGCAGAACTAGTGATATTTTGACAGATATTTTAAGCTTGCTTTAGCGAACCAAACAGACATATAGACATTTCAAAGGAACATGGGAAAATTTAAAAAAGAGAACTAAAATAATTTTGGAATTTGCCTCTTAGAAAAATGCTTTAATTTGGGAAAAA